TCTGCTGGGAAACACAGGCCAAATCCTGGTTTGGGGCTAGGTAGTTCGTCACTGGCCAATCGCTCGCTCCCTGGTGCACTCCATCATCAGCGAGCGGTAGATGGAGTGGAGAGTCTAGGCCAGAGGCCAGGGCCCGGGCACTCTATCTCTCTATCTGGAACCTGGGACAGCTGGCCTTGGAAGGCATTGCAAATCACTGCCCTTCTCCGAATGCAAACTGATAGTCTGCAGGTATGGGCGCTTTGATCCCGGACGATAGCACGGGGACAGTAAAACGAGAAACCGGTAAGACTTGTGCAATACGCATGCGATTTGTGGGATTGATATGAAACGAATGGTAATTGACGGGCTGGCTGGGCAAATACGAAAAATGATACTCTAAAACAAGACCCTGTTTCTGAAGAGTATGTAATTCATGATCCCATTGTCACCCCCAAAACTTTATTTCTGGATATCTCCAAAAGGGTCAGGGCTGCTCTGCGTACGTACGAAATCAATCCTCCTCCTCAATTTCGGCTGTTGAAGCTTGGCCACGGGACAAACCCACTATCCGCTGCGACGTGGACACCCCATCCCGCTGCCCTTGCGCTACTGTAAATAGTCACTCTCACTAATGTTCATTCGGTGCTGCGTGATGTGATGCCTCAGTTCACGATGCACGGGCTTACGGACAGGGGCTGGCAGGGAGCCAGGAAAGAATTTGGGCTGTAACAGAGTGAGTCTGTGAGGCTGTTGCCGATGTTTTACGGCATCTCAAGTCTGGACTGGGCCATTCTGTGCCTCACGAGTATCACGGCCTCGATCTAGATCATGCATCAACTTCTTTTTGAATGTCGAGTTCAGCTACTGTTGTCGATTCTTCACTCGATCAAACAGAGGCACAGCCACGACGCTCTCCCGTGTTGCCATGCATGCACGCACACACGACAGTCTACAGAGACGAGACAGCTTGACAGGGATCGACTTTCTATCTGGATATCGTGATGTCAGATGCATCCATCAACACCACAACCACAATCATTGAACCCATCCGCCATCGAGTTAGTGGGCATGATGAGCACAAACAAACACTCTCTGTCTCTGTCAAAAGTCAATGAATCAACCCCAGTGACGATCCGGATCGGAATGTTAATCGTCTCCCCTTTTAGGAATTGGGAGTGTCTGCCAAGACTGGAAATCTCCGCTACCTTTTGAGACTCTTTCATCCTCATTCTCATTCTCATTCCCGTGGCGCAGCCCAACTGACTCCCTCACTTCGGAACATTCAGTCCCGTCCTCGACGCCAATGACATCAACTACATTATTAGCTTCGTTTCCTTCTCCCCCCGATCTCCAGGTTAAATCACGTCTCCCCATAACAGTAGCTTCATGACGATCTGACTTACAGTGCAGTCACTGCATCTGCGATCATAATTACCTGGTGAGCTCCATTGGTTTGTTTACTTGGCTATCACTCTTGATCATTGCGCTACTGTTCATCGAGCAAGAGTCGCTCCATTCATCCTTTGTTCTTTTAGTCTGTCAAGGTTGATGCCGACCGATGTCTTTGACTCCTTTTGACGACATCATGACTTTCTCACCGCTTGGCGATAGAGAAACAGCAGTCGTTTCTTCAGAACTGCCTCAAGATCTGACAACGAAAATACTACTATCACAACTTCATCGACGTACCCCAGTCAATCTTTCATTCCAAAAGGCTAGACTCTCCACAAATATATGCGCCATTCTCTATCTAGCCCTAGCGCGATCAGGATGATGCTGGTTCAGCTGAAATGGTCTGCTCTGGCGTTAAGCTCTCACTCTCTTAAACTGGCACTGACTGGGCCGAGGTACGTGCCTGTAATTTTATCCTGACGCATCAACCTTCAAGATGTCGCGGTTCGACCAATGAGATCTCCTCTGACGTGAATTTATTGAATTACCACATGCCTCCCTCAATTTTGGGCTTTGCTTTGCTTTCCTTTCTTTGCAGCGTGGCCATGGCCGTTACCGCAAACGTCGCCTAACAAAGCATATTGCGGCTGCACAAACTGGGCCTCCTATTGCTGCGTCACTATTACGGACTGCTCTAGAACGTTGTTCCCGTCTGTAACGCGTCGTGAGAGTCAAGACGAGGCCTCTCAATTGCACAGCCCTTTGTTCAACACAAGCACAGTCACGTGTGCATTATCGTACTCCCATCGGCTACAATCCCTTGGTTGTCTTTTGGATCTGAGTGTCGGCATTTGTGTTTCACCTTGTGGCTGTTTGCTTAAACATTCCTGGTCTACTCGGCGTATGGTTGCCTCAATTGTTGTCATGTATACAGAGTATGTCAAGTCTCATCGTAGAGAACCTTGGTAACGAGCCGCTTGATTGCGGCCTGGAATCTGGGCTTGGAACACAAAGAATGGCTTCAATCCAAGTTGCCCTTGATGAAGCGTACATTCCCTTGGCTATGCATCAGAAATGTAGCACTCGACCCTGCATAAAGAGGCGAGCTCCTAGTGCACGCAAAGCTGCGATGCCTTCTGTGTACAACGGTGAACAGATGTTTGTGTGAGGTGTCAACTCTTTGCTGTTGTACCAGCTTGGAACGTAGGCCGAGATGCCAGGTTGCTCTTTGGAGGAAACGAAATAACAGATCCGTAAATCGATACTCCCGGCTGGATATGCAAGCATCGGCTCACGCTTCATTCATATGGACTGTGGCTCACCATCACGAGCAGCTCGATTCAAGATAAACTAGTTTGTGAAGAGATATCCTATCGATTTTTATGGCTCTTGGACAAACTTTTGATACTCAACAGTTGACCAAGGTTTGTGAACGGTAAGGTCATTGTATTTTTTTGATACTAAAAAATTGAACCTCAGAGCACCTTAATTGTTGATGGCCTAATGCATCTAATGCTCGGGGTTTCCGATGACTCTTTACCATAAAGACAAAGAAAGGGAACAATTTGACCGTTTTCGAGTCTTTTGATTGCTCTAACAATGTCTATGCGCCCACCATGACCATGGCGAATTGCCCTTTAACAAAGAACTGGTTTCTTTGTTCTTTGAATAGCATCACATCAATCACCCGGCCCTACAGGCGCCAACATTGTGGCAGAACCCTAGAAATATTTCTTTATGTCTTTTTAAGAATAGATATACCTACGATCCTCTCAAAGAAACGTCTTCCTGTTCAGACCTCTGTTCTACCAAACTGTGACTCTCCTATCACTCTGTGCCAACATCTGTATTCTAGTTCACGATGGTGTCTTTGCGAGCAGCGGGAAAGCAGAAGGAGAGCACTCAACCTCTGTACGTCCCTTCTAACGATTACGCGACCTCCTACAGATCCAACTGGTTCACTCCAGACAATGGTATCTTAGACCCTCAAGATCTCGAACTTCTACAGCACATCAACTGCTCCTACTTCTCCTCCGGCCGTCCTCCCACTCTCCTCGCCCTCAAGCAGCATGCCCAATCTCTCACCAACATCATCCGCAAGCTTGCTCCGTCTACTACCACCCGTCCTGTAGGCACCGGGGAGGTCGATTCTGGAAGATGGATCTTCCACAAGAACGAGGCTTTTGACTGGCTGAACGACCTCAATACTCCTTATGAGAACGATGATCCGTCTCATCATGATCCTCTGTTTGCTCTTCACAATGTCGTCAGGTCTGAGTCTGAAGTGCACGGGATCGAACATCGTTGTCCATTGACACAAGTTGAGGATTTTGGTCCTTCGGCCAAGGAGGGAGATATTCGTCGTCCTTATATGACACACCACGACCTCATCATGCATGCCAACGAGTGTCTTGAGATCATCGATCATGAGTACTCTTCTACTGGCGGCTTGATGTCGATCCTTCCAACTGGTTTCGAAGACCCCGATGATAAGAGAAAGAACCATCCTCTGAGAGAATCGCAACTCGAAGCTGCTCGCAACTGTCTTCTTGGTCAATGGATTCTTCATCATCAGCATCTCGTCGGTCGCATGCACGAACTTGAAATCAACTACGCCAACGCTCTCGACGTCCTCAAAGGAGAAGCCATCGTACCGCAGCAGATGCTGCACCGTGCCGGCGCTGATGGCATCTCAGGGGGTCGCGAGATTGTCTATCCGCAGGATAAGTACATCCTCGTGAACTGCGGCGAAGATATCAGAAGCTACATCCACCGTCTTCTGGATGTCGCTGAAGCACAAATCGAGCAGAAGGAGAAAATCTGGAAAGCAAGCGGTGTAATTGGCGAGCGAATCTGGAACGAAGAACGAGGCGGCAAAGTTTACGCCAGAGGCATGGTCCCTATAGATCTTATAAGTCGCTTCTACCGCATCAAAGGCAAAGGCCATCAGTCTCCCCTATTTGTCATACCAGCAGCCGGGCAACATCCTGGTGTAGAGAGCACAAGACTCATGGAGGATAGACCTACCGTGGTATCCATCGTGACTCCAACTTGGCCGGAGCGTGTGTCTGCCATCGAGGCAAAGAACAAAGAGCGTCTGGAGAGAGCGGATAAGTTGGTGTCTGAGAATCAGTTCCTGGTTCGTGAGATGGCTGAGATGAAGGATAGATTGGCTTTTCAGAATTCAGAGATCAAGCGCATGCATGATCAGTTGGCTTGGTATGAACAGCACACGGAAACTGTTGGCATGGAGCCAGAGGATTAAGGATGGGTTTCTTCATTGTCCATTGACATTTGGGGTTCGTCTTGGAGTTTGACGGATAAGAAACTGACCAGATGGAGAAATACAGTCTTAGATATGCACAATTTAACAGAACGGTATTATAGGCCATACGTTCATCTCCATTTGTTGGTCGTTTCGCTACATTGAGCATACTGGAGATAGGCAGAATTGCTGTATTATCACTACCTCATCTAATTCGTAGCCTATGACCATTTCACCCAGAAAGCGTCAAGTCCAATGTGAGGAATACATCCTTGATAACCAGAATACCGACCTGCTTTTTTTTTCTTCCTTCTTTTTTTTGACTTGATCTATATGTGCTATCCAAGCATGATGGATGTGGTCAAACGGTTGTTCGCGACCTAGGCGGGAAAGGAAGTCGTTCTCCAATACGGCAATCCGATTTGGCTGATTTAATCATGTCGGCCGCCTGGTTTAGTTATCAATATTAGTTCTTTTCTCAAGTATTGAACACTTACCTTTTCAGCAATGGCATAGACACTGGCTTGTAGGTGAGCTGATGGAATCAGGGGCATAACACTAGCATCAGCGATACGCAAGTTGCATGTGCCATACACCTTGAGCTCAGGGTCGACAACTCCTCCTAGATCAAGAGGCATCATAGCTGCTGTGCCTGAAGGATGTCTCTCTGTCGTGATCTTTTCCATGACATGCTTCATCAGCGTCTCGTGATCTGTAGTATCAAACGCCGATTCCGCTTCGGGTATGAGTTCTTTCATGGCATTGGTTTGGACCAGCCTCGTGTTCATTTGGAGACCAAGAACAATAATTTCGCAATCAATCGGGTCGGAGCAGTATCTTGGGTCCAGCTTTGGCAAATCGAAGATCGAGGAAGATGAGGGACGGACAGTGCCGCGGGAGAAGGTCTTTTGAGCAGCTACAGTCAACTGCCCCTATGAGTTGGCCATGGTCTCAAAGATTCCTGTATCATTGCTGAGAATTTGGTCTAGTAGAATCTTTTTCTGGACTTCGTAGCCCTTCTTCACAGAGTTGGGGATATTTGAAGGAATGCCATCCCCTGAACTCTTGTTCATGAACTGTTTCCAGTCATCTGTTGCAGATCGAAGACTCGGGAATGCAACCGTGTTTATGAGAGGTGCTGTCCAGGGGCCTAAATCTGTCAGAAACGGGTATCTCTCTCAGAAATATGTGCTCACCTGTTCTGTTCCGTATGTACTCCTTGGCAACTTGGTCGTATACATCATCGGTTATCTCATCACTCCTGAAGTATGATTCATTGCGATCTAGACCATTAGTATACGATATCTATCAGAAGTAAGGTACTTACAGTAGTAGTTAGCATAGACCATGGGATGATCCTGAAGATTATATCCAACGCCAGGAAGGTCAATCTTGACCGAAATGTTGAGCGACTTGAGACCATCTGAAGGCCCAATCCCCGATACTTGAAGTAAAGTAGGCGTAAAGATCGCACCGGCCGAAACAATTACCTCTCTGGTACAAGAAATTGACCTCGCCTTGGACTTTTTGATTGGAGCAAACTAACATACAAATTAGTAACCACCTCATCTATTGTGTCACTTGATCATACCTCGACTCCCATAACTCTCTGACTGGAGTTGTGTGGGCTATTACTATCCAAGACAAGTTGTGTAACAGTCTGATTGGTTGCAATGTGCAAATTGTACCTCGAAGATGCCAAGTTAAAGTGAGCTTCCCTGGCATCGAACCTCGTCTGATTATCAGGATGCATGCTTGAGGGGAGGATCATGGCCCCTGCGGCTGTCCCATTGTTCACATCACCAATGATGGGCAGACCAAGCTCTGCAAAGCCGTCCAGAACGTTGGCTGTTCTCTAGTCAGAACACGCAAAGCTTTGACAGCGTGAAGGGCTTACAGGATTGGTCATAGAAGTACTGAGGGTAGGAGACGTGCACTGAGCCATTGTATCCATGCGCAGCTGATTGAGGACGTATGTGAAGTTCCTGGGCATCATGAGGCTCAACATTAAAGGTGAATTTCTCAGACTGCCACAAATCAGCCTCATTCTTAAAGATCGGTTACACACTTACCTTTTTGAAGTAAGGAAGTAGGTCATTCCAAGACCAACCCTTGTTACCCAACTTTTCCCAACCATCATAATCAGACACTGAGCCTCTGGACCAACAGAGACCATTGAGGATGGAACTGCCACCAACAGCCTTTCCTTGAGGAATTCCAACATTCTGGTTGTTGAGATAGGTCTGGGGCTCGGTGGTCAACCCCCATTGGTATTTTTGCCATCCACCTGACCCGATTGTGCCCGGGACAGGAAGAAGGCCTCCAGGAATCGAAAGATCCCTCGCGTCATCCCTGGATTGCGATTTGTCAGTTGAGATCTGGTGGGTTGCGAGAGACGTACAAAGGACCAGCTTCGAGAACCAGGACCGAAACTAGGAACACCATTAGTGAGGCTCTTTGAGTCTATTGGTATCAAGTACCTGCTGGGTTTTCGGAGAGGCGATTGGCTATGGTTAGACCTGCAGTACCACCTCCAACGATGATGTAGTCGTAGACGTTACGCAGCTGTTCATCTGCAATGTCTGGGGTCACATGAAGGCTTTCGGCCAAGGGTAGAAACAGGGCCAGAAAGGGCAACAATAAATTTCCAAAATGCATCCCGGGCGACCTAGTTACGAGAAGGTGTCGAGTGAGCCAATACAATGTTGGTGATGCTGCGGGGATCTGCTTTTCAGTAAACTCGCTACCTTATTTCGGTGGGAGAGTAAACAAACAAACCCAACTTGTGAAATATAAGTATTTCCAACACTCCAATCATTATGGGGATCTGCCACTGCCCGACAACCACCAGGTGGAACTCACACAGATCTTATCTCCAAGAGCTAGGATGAAGTTCTAACAGCAAAGAAGTCCTAAGCTGGTCCCGAATCCTTTTGTCCTCCCTCATATGTATCAATAATAATGTGGGATAGTCATGCCATGATCTCTGTGTTAGGGTATAGAACTATAGAACTACTATACTCTTACTCATGCTGAACTCGCCAGTATACTCGGGTATTCGAATTTCTCGCATTTATTTGGCTTAGAGATCCTAATATTCGGTCGCATAGCCCAATATTTTGGCTTGGTGTTTACACTGCATTATTTTCTGGTGATATCTCCATGTTCACACAGTGAGTTCAAGCTAATAAATTTAGAACCCTCACTTAACAAGAAAGGTCGGCTGTTTTTCATTTAACAAAACCCTTGAGAGCTATACATACTCCCCCAGAGCAGATATTGTAGCATTTAATGTTTCTCGTGGCCATGCCCATTTGATTCATTTCTCGTCTCTCATTATAGGGTAATCGCTTGGCTAAAGACGCTGCTCCTATAGACCTGACTTGGACAAATAACAAGTGCGAAACATCCTCGTTGTTGCCTACTTTAGGTATTCAGGATAGAAGTATAGAATCGCCTTCTCTTGTAACGGGCTTCGGAGATAACTCGAAAGATTGCTCATTCGTGACTGCTCCCCATCATCTGGAGAAACGATGACTAAGGTAAGCCACCTATAGATACAACCTCCCTCAACACCAATCAAGATGAACCAATTGTCACCATGATCAATACGCGATATCAGCCATGATGTTGTCTTTGTCAAGGCGATGGGCTGTCAATGCTCAGAAAACCACTGTAATAGCTCCCAAGATACTCAATCGTTCTCTTCATCTTGCTCCCCCGTTCCTCCTTGACGACTATGTTCCGCGATATATGACACTCAGTTCCCGCGACGCAGCCAAGAAGCGTTCTTTGGCGTATGCTCACCTTCGCAATTGTAATCTATGTCCGAGAGAATGTGGCGTAAACAGGTACGACAAGACAGGCATGTGCCTCATCGGAGAGAAGGCGAAAGTCAATACAATCGCTCCCCACTTTGGTGAAGGTCAGTTCATCTACTGCCCATTGCGCTTCGCTCTCGGCTCGCTGTACCTGATACTCCCTTGCCTGTCAGCTCATTAGCTCTTCGTTAGCTACTTATGTATCACGTTCTTCTCTTCAGCCTCTGACTAAACTCGTACAGAACCGTGCATTCAGGGGCACAATGGTAGTGGTTCCGTCTTCATGAGTGGATGTAATATGCGGTGCATCTTTTGCCAGAATTACGATATCGCACATCAACAAAACGGAATGGACTTGACCCCTGAGGAATTAGGTGACTGGTACATCAAACTACAAGAGGTTGGCAAAGTACACAATATCAATATTGTTACGCCTGAGCATGTTGTCCCACAGGTGGCGTTGAGTATCCTCCATGCGAGGGACCAAGGCCTGACAGTTCCCATCGTTTACAACACATCGAGCTTTGACTCTCTTGCATCCCTGCAGCTGATGGATGGATTGGTCGATATATACCTTGCTGACTTTAAGGTGTGGAAGTCAAGCACCTCTAAAAGGCTACTGAAGGCCGATGATTACGCTGCAACAGCCAGAGAGAGCATCAAGGTGATGCACGCTCAGGTCGGTGACCTGTGCTTCACCGGAGACGGGATAGCAAAAAAGGGTTTGCTGATTCGCCATCTTGTTATGCCAGGCAAACAGGACGAAGGAGCCGAAATCATGAAGTTTCTCGCAAATGAAGTCTCTACAGATTGCTTCATCAACATCATGGAGCAGTATCATCCAGACGCTCATGTCGGCAAACCAAAGCGAGCAAAGTCGGACGGCAAAGAAGAAAAGCAGGAGGTCCGATACGCAGACATCAACCGAGCTGTCAATGCCCAGGAAATCTCCTCAGTCAGGAAAGCCGCAGAAGAGGCTGGGCTATGGCGCTTCAACGACCCACCGGGCCACGATGGGTTTGCAATCTGATGAGAAGCAAGTCGCCTCTCATTCGACTGTTGGGTTGCACTGAAAATGAAACAAACCTTGCTATGAGGCTGTCAATCCAAGCCAACAACGGGGACTAACAACGCCACCTCCTGGTCCGAACAAGCAATTGGCTTGGCTACCTTATTCAATTACACGGAGCGAAGACAAACCATATGACCTGCTGTTCTAGACCCTACAGCCTCTCTTTCATGTTCCTGACTGCCAACTGAACAGCCTCCAAAGGCCAAGACTGACCAGTCTTATTGACGGCTTGAGTTGGTGACTCTTTAAAGTGTGGCCACCAGGCACGGATCCATCAGAATAACCAATGACTCTCACTAGAAGAACCCTCTTCCAAAGAATTAATGGTCAAGCGCCGGAACTCGCTGTTTCGCTTTGTCGAGGCGAACACAGCGACAAAGCGAACAGACCCCTCATGTACAGTGTGCTCTCCTCGCAGTGGCCTTTGTCCACGGTGGAGAGGAAATGGAGGATGAGAAATATGAATATCTAGTAATGATGGATGCTGTTTCTCTCAGAGAGAATATCCCTTCTTTACTACTATCATTATCAAAAACTCAAAATCTATCAAGATGAATACAACTTTTACAACAACTCACAGCATGGTCCAGCTACCACCAATGGATGCAAGAATCACTCCGCCTCCCGAGGAGCTAAACATTGCTATCCCCAAGCTACAAACATGCCCTATCCTCCCACCTTCACCTCAATTCCTTCCGGATACACCACACCCAGACACACCGTCAGTCTGCAGCCCTTCTTCACGAAGGAGACGCCGACGATCTTCCAGCTCCAAAAGCCGTCCTACACCAGAGAGTGTTAATCAGCAGCCCTATGCCAACTCTCGTCTTATCTTTTCACCCAGACCTTTTGAAAATCTCTATATAGATCGAGCATATCTTATTTCATGTCTCCAGCAGCAGGCTGCCCGAGCTGCAGATCTTATGGCACAGTATTGCGCCGTGGACGCGCAGCTTCACAACCTTGTTGGCGATAATGGCCGGCGAAAGCTGAGAAAACAGCTGGCTCTGCTGAAGTCTAAGGCCAACCAGGCCGCTGAACAGGAGAAGGCCATCTTCTCCCGCCTTGGTGAACTGTTCGTTGAAATCAGGAGCCGAGAGACTTGGGCAAAGACATGGACTGCCGAAAGCCCTAGTGTCGCATCACCCGTCTGCTTCAGTCCCGTTTCCTACGGCATTACAACTCCTTTGACACCTCTGAGCGGCACTTCTGAGCACTTTAATCCCATGGGCTACTTTGGCGATATGCATCAGGTTTACGAACCACCATACATTCACCAGGAACCGATGCCATATGGTCTAGAAACTGTCGACGAGGCCGCAGAAGATATCTTTGGCGCCGAATCTAGCTGTGACAGCGTTGAGTCCGAGACGACCCCAGCAACTCCAACTGACGTTGTGACACCCTTCGTTCAGGAGAATGACTATGGTTCTGAACTTGGAGAAGAGTTGAGTGAGGAGCGGTTTGTTGCGCTTAGGGAGAGGCGGCTTAGTCTTCCCTGTCTTCATAATGCTTGGCCTGAGGCTTAGGCACATCGGTGCACAATTGAAAGGCGTTACCGGGTATTCTGTTGATTTTTCAAGCATCATACAAAACCACGGAACGATCATACATGTTGATTCATAATATCAAGTTATCATCATGTCACTTACCATTAGTAGCATCAATTTGGCTTTCAATGTTTAGCATGTCTTAGTGTATATACTATGCTGTGTGTTTTCTTTTCAAATCATATCGCTGATGCACCAATTTATCCGTGAAATCCTTAAGCAAATTCTCCAAATTGTCCGTCGTCAAATCCAAGATCTTTGGCTGATTGCTTCTGCTGCTTCACAGCATTTGCACTTGGTGGAGGTGGTAATGAGAACCCGCCTGATGAGCCTGGTCCAGCAGGTGGTGGTGGTAGCGCAAATGACTGAAGATCACCTCCTGCTCCTGAACCAGATGAACTATCTTGTTGTTTGCGTCTGCCGAACTTTGATCCGCCAAAGCTCACAGTGATAGTCTCGCCATCTTTGAGGCTGTAATCTCTATGCTCCTCTTTCTCCTTCGTCGCAGCCGGTTTGCTCTGTTCGCCCTCCCACCCTAGCGCCTTTCGCGCCTCCTGAAGCGCAATGCTCAGATCAAACGCCTCGCTTCTCTCCTCGAAACCAATACCCAGGATAGCCTTTCGACCCTGTGGATCGCGCACCGTCACTGCAAAGAAGCGGCTGCTATCGAGGACTGGCTCTACAACTCCGGGAGCAGTATAAGGCGCTGCGGCGAATAGTTGGCCCGACGAAGCATCTTCCAGCACAGCGTCGACTTTGAGCTTATTGGTTGACGACTCGGATTCGTAGGCTGTCTCGACAACGCGCAGGCGGGCAGTGAAGATATGGCGCTGGGGCTCGGCGGTCCATGTGCTGGCAGAGTAGCCCTTGGTAGAAGTAAGAGGAGGGATGTTATAGACGTGGACGGCGTTGGCGACGAAGAGAATGCGCTGGATGGCGTCGTTGGGGAGGGCAGCGCCTGTCGCGGGATCGAGGAGCTCCATTCTTAACTAAGTTTATCGTTTGTGACTGATAGATGCTTGCACTGAAGTGAATTGATTTTTTGCAGTCGAAGTGAATAAAAGTCAAAGATCAAAAGCTATAGAGGTCTGGAGTGAAGACGGAGAGAGGGGTGTAGAGATCGGAAGCGGTGGAGGGGCAGCGCGGGGCACTTTTGTTCAGGGTTCTGCTGCAGGGTAGTCAACTTAGTGGCGACCTCTAGATATCAACAGGTTACAGCACGTTTATTGAACGATGCAACGCAACTGGTTGATCTTATTTTCCAGACGAAAATATACCTGTGTTTCGATCTGAGCCGCATGCTTTTGGTTTGTTCCCATCGAAAAGGCTCCTTGCTGCTGCAAATCAGAGCTACCTAAGGTACCTTACGCTTCTCGATCACCTGGTGCAATTACAGGGGACCTCAACTGTAAAAGACCTGTAATTAAGCAGTGCCGTCACTTTCGGCCCCGCTCCCCACTTCACCCCGCCAAACCAGCTCCGACAGATTGATTGATTGACTCACCAAACCCTTCAAAATTCCAGAATAGTATCATCTCAACTCCAAATCGATACCCCCGATATCTCACACATCCTCTATTATGGCCACGTTAGATACAGCAGGTCAGCTACCCCCGACTGTGAACATCTGTCTCTCTGCTAACTAATCTAAGCCGCTACTCCGGCTGAGCAACCTCAGGCTTCGTCGACCTCAGATTTCGAGTCCGTCTCCAAACCCACCCGCTTCTCACTCCTCTAATAGCCTGCTAGTATCGTCGAGACTTACCGCGGCCTTCTTGCCTCAGACCCATATCTCACCAAGCCCGTTGCCGCCATCGAGTCCCTAATCGCTCTTCTTAATGCCCACCCTTCTACCACCGTCTTCGAGATCCTCGACACCGTCAAAGCGCACTCCGATCGCCTCAAAGCCTCCGTTGCGAACCCCGTGCCCCTTTCCGCAGGAACCGACCTGTTTCTTCAATACCTCGTCTCGTCGCTCCGTCAGCAGGATGGCAGCTTTGAGGCCGTGAGGCAACATCTTCTCCGAAACGGACGCCTGTTTGCCCAGCGTGCTAATGCCGCGCGAGAAGGCATTGCAGACGCAGGATGGAGGCTGATTCACGAGGGTCAATGTATTCTCACACACGGCGCCTCGCGATCAGTTGTTGGAATTCTGGAGCGTGCTGTGCAGAACCTCGGTGCAGCCAAGTTCAAGGTTATCTACGTGCGAGAGGAAACCCGCGTTGAGGAGAGTGATCGCATAGTGCGCGAGCTTCGCTCAAAGGGTATTCCTGTCGCCGAGATCGCAGAGGCTTCAGTGGCTTATGTCATGGGTCTCCTGCGCCAGGTCGATATGGTGATTGTGGGTGCTGAAGCTGTCACATCCAACGGCGGTATCATCTCTCGAATGGGTACTCTTCAGCTTTCTAAGCTGGCTGCTCAAGCTGGTCTTCCGTTCTACGTTGCTGCTGAAACACACAAGTTTGCGCGCAAGTTTGTCATGGACCAACGGGATATTGGCTTTAAGCAGGAAATCTTGGACTTCAGTGTTGATAACAAGAGTAAGGATACAGTCGATGCTGTCGACTTTACTGTATGTGGTCCCCAGATTATAGCTCCCGATCGAGTTGCTAACTAGTTAAATAGCCCCCCGACCTTATTTCCAAGCTCATCACCGAGAATGGGATTAAGCTTCCTGGCTATGTGTTTGAGCAGCTTCTCGATATCTATGGTAGTCTCAACGGTTGAGAGAAACGGACAAAGCACTAGCAGCGCCGCGCCCATTCTAATATTAAGAGTCGAAATGGCGTGCTTTCATTCATCACCTCATTCTTTGGAACGATTCCGCTATTATCACGAGCCATCACGAAATATGAGCTCAGGACGGGTTTGGGACAGGATGAAAGATGCTTAACATGGCTGATGTCACTGATGTCACCCTGAAACTTGGAACGGATACACACAACAGTTGGTATCCGAAGGTCATGACGTTGCAAGAGACAACATTTGCTATCATCACAGAGTAGCTGGTTTCGGTATGGAGTTCAAAACATAGGAGTAAATAGAGATGGTCATGAATACATTTGCTTTCTCAGGGAGTGACTCTCCTCCTTCAGATTCCTCTCGCAACAGTCGGGGCCCATACAAATGACCAAACTCCGGCATGCATAATCCCCCCAACGGCTCGTTTATGATATGAAACCAATCGTATATATCGGAACAAATGCCCTAGTCGATGCCTATGCATCTCGGACCAATCTGGCTCCCACCCATGCGTAGGGATAGTTCCTCTGATACCAGTTGACAAAACTAGCTCGTCCTGCAATGCGTGGATGTGTGGCCCACGAACCACCCAAGACGACGTTATGCTTGCCATCAAAGAAGTCAGTCGTGTAGAGAGGATAGAGCGACATGGGCTCAAAACCCTCA